GACAAATGGACCTGGTGCTGGTGTAAGTCTATTGTTTAAGGTTAAACTGGATTACTTGTGAGCATCAAATGCACTGTTTAGTGGTTCAGTGAAATGCAATCAGCTTACTGAGCTCTAAACTATGTCTGTGCTTTGATAAGACAAAAAGTCAGTGGTCCGCATTTTAGTTTTTGCTGCACTGTCAGAGTCACATACTCTATACAATTTCCTTGAACGACTGGGTGGAGTTTCCTCAGCAGCTGAACGCTCTGACCACCCCAACACCCCCACGCTCCACAGTCCAGTCACCTTTATCTCAGTGAACAGGTCAGGCTGAAATGTTTTAGGATTATAATCTGCATGTTTAAGGATTAATCATTTTGCTCCTGCTCAACTGTTTGTGGCTGCTCAACACGATTTGCAGCTTCCTTCCAATTCAACTGCAGACTTAAAGGAACAAGGAACTAATGAGGCAACTATGAAAAGAAAAAAAAAAATCCCAAGTTACTCGTGTTCTTCTGAACCGTGCAGCTAAGACCAAACTATTTCGGGCAAAATTTACGTCACAGTCAGAATCAGTTCGAGAGAAGTTGTACTGCGTGACGGTGGCGTTTCTTCATTCAGCTGCTGACTTCAGGACAAATGACACACAAGAGCTCAGCAAAAACAGACATGATAAACCAGGAAACTAACAAATTACAAAATTCACAAAGTTTGTTTTCTCAGTCATCCAGGTATATAACAACAAAAAAGGTTGAATCATATCATGATCCATCCATCCATCACCTGGATGACTGAGAAAACAAACTTTGTGTTTTTGAAACCATTAGTGAAAAGGCCAGACTTCAGGGGTATCTGAGGCAGGCTTGAAACACAAGAGTCAGGGTGGCTTCTGGGTAATACCAGATGGCTAGGCCTCAGACTGACGAAGCCTCTTGGATGAGGGGCGAAACGTTTCTTTTTAACAAAAAAAACGAAGTCCAGATGACATGATTCAACCTTTTTTGTTGAAATTACAAAATTATTGGACACTAAATCTACAGTTAGTTATTCAACTAATTAACTCTTCAACCACACGATGTAGTATTTTATTGTGAAACAAACTGAAAGCCTGAGCGTTTAAGAATTCATACACCTTTCTGTGTGTGTGTGTTAGCAAAATATGCCATGAGCCACTGTAAAGATTTAATCAAACTTTTAGAGAGCAATTATTGGCTGTATGTACATTCACCATGGCTAACTGACATGAACCAGCACAAATGGTGACAACTCGTCAGTTTGACAAATATTAAGCTTGCATTTGGTGTGGTAGTAGCTGAGTGTTATTCCCAACGAATACTCCACGCTCTAACATGTTCAGATCATGCATAACTAAGATTTGACCAAAAAGGTCGGAACTCTGTCAATTCTCAACAAAACAGGACCTCAGTTTAAAACTCAGGATGCATTTCTCTCGTCAGCTGCATCAGATGCGGCTGTAAGAATGTTAAGAATAACTCCACATAGCTGGTTAGTACTTTGAACAACTAAACTAAACACGTAGCTGTAATGTGCACCTCACTGGAGCTGGGGGAACAACCAGGATGACTAATCATAGATGTGACTGTCAACCTTTGCTGATGTCCATCATTCCAACTCTGAATAAAATTACCCGATTTTCTAAAGCTCCAGGATTTCAAGTACCGTATTTTCCGGTGTATAAGTCGAAAAGTACAAGAAAAGTATAATGAAGTTTGCTCGACATTATTGCAAATTGTCTCATGTCAGTTTCATGTCAGTACGAACGAACATTTTAAGTGTCAGTCAATGAATATGAAAAAAAAGAAAACGTATATAAGTCGCTTCGGCATATAAGTCACTGGACTGACAAATCTATGCAAAAAACTGTGACTTATACGCCGGAAAATATGGTATGTGTCCTATAGTTAGGGTCGGCTTGGGTTTCCTGAGCTTTCCCTTAGTTATGCTGCTATAGGCTTAGACTGCTGGAGGACAAACTGAGCACATTTCCTCACTCTGCTGCTGTCTTTACTCGCTTCACTCTACCTGTTTGTAAATGTATTTTGTTGTATTTGTATTTGTTGTGTTTTTGTTGTCTTTCCTCCAACAAAAAGTACACTTGGACCTGTCATTCTGGACCTGTTTCTCCTTCCTCTCCTCTCAAACTCCAGCCGGTCAAAGCAGATGGCTGTTCATCCTGAGCCTGGTTCTGCTGGAGGTTTCTTCCTGTTAAAAGGGAGTTTTTCCTTTCCACTGCCGCCTTTGTGCTTGCTCAGGATGGTCGACTGCGACGAAGTGAAGATAACACAATCTGCTGGCTTCCTTCCTCGGATAGATAACATTTACGGCTTGGCTTTTATAATGTATGTGGATGTTTCTGTTCAGTGCCCTGAGACGACTTCTGTTGTGACTTGGCGCTTTAGAAACGAACTGAACTGATAATGGTCAATCATAATAACTGATTGAACTTGAAGTGATAATGGGCACTTTGATGACTTGAACTGCATTGTCACAAAATTATTTATGTATAAATAATAATATACAATACTCGTGTGTTTATTACAGCTTCAGCCACAGACGGTGCCCCTGAACAACAGTGGCCATGATAAATAAAGTCAGTGTTTGGTTTGTCCGTTCCGGGCTACTGTTCTAGTGCATTAGTGCTACATTAATTACATTTAGTACATTTTAGTCTCTTATTTTCACAAGATTCTTCGCTATAATAATAGTCTGTTGCTACACCACCATCCATTTAGTACTTAATAGATAAGACATCACGTAGATAAAGAACAGGACTTTTCATTTGTCCAGATGAATAACTGCCAACACAAGATTTGTGCTGTGAATGCATGATGATGTCATCAAGAAGAGACAAAGATTCATGAGCTGACAGCTGTGTTCATGCCCACCCATTCACAACATAGTGCGCAACACAGTGAGTCAGCTATTGTGGAGCAGTGTTTGAACTTTTAACTGGAATTTTTTTTTAATCCACTAAATACTGTCCTCACAGTTTGTCTCCAGGGGCAGAAGATGCATTGTGTCTGATTTGTAAGCTCACGCCAATATTCACAGCTCCATCGGGGATTCTCAGACTTGTTAAAACGCCTAGATTTATGTAAACATGTCCAACATGAAGCGTCTTCTCTGTCTCAGCTGCAGTGAAATTATTAAAAACATTTGAACTCCAACTATGTTTAAAGCTGCAGTATGTGACCACGATGTAGTGAGTGAGTGAACGTTTGGAGCTCCACCTCAGAGCTCAGCGTGATGACTGACAGACACGAGTGTCACCACCAAAACAAACTGATTCTGTGTGAATTATTAGACTACTTATGACTAAAAGTAGAGCTTACTATCAATAAACGTCATTTTTTTTTATTACATTAAAGCTAGATTAATTTATAGATCATTACATAATCTAACAGGAGTGAAGCTACCAGTTCTTATTTACTGGTAAATAAGCAGCTATGAATGAGTTTAGTGTGGTTTGCTACATGAATAATATAACAAAATAAGATGCCATTAGGTGATTTTATACATTTTAAAACATTTGAGAAAATGCAGATGCCCATTTGGGCGTGTGTAATCGCCCAGCAGTAGTTTGTGATAATTTTATTTTATTAATTTGACACGATCTTAGCAATAAAACTAAAAAATAGGGATTGAAAAGCAAACTTGCATGCAGAAAATCAGTTTTCAGTTCTAAGCAATAACCAGAAGACTTTCTTTCTCTCAGGCACAAAAAGACACAACGTCAGATGTTTGTGGCTTCCTGTGAGTAGTTTCTGATAAAAGGACGAGGGGTAACTCGGTCGAGGATGAAGATAAAAATGTTTTGAGAACACGGCCAGTAACGACGCTGGCCCAGTGGGTACACCTCAGAGTTCTTCACTGGTCTCTCAGCTTCAGGACAGTGTGCTCAGCAAATGTTAGTGTGAAAGCCACACTCATTCCCAACAACCTAATATTTTGCTATCATCTTGGCTTTTTCCCATTGGTGTCAGAAACATTGGGGGGGATACACTGGTGGGGGGAGGGATCCTCCCCCGAATTTTTTTTTTTAAATGAAGTAGATGCCATTTTCAGCATTCTGGTGTATTTTAACAGGTTGCTACGTTTACCTACATCTGTAAACACTTGATTCAATAACTATTTTAGAGTTAATGGCACAACAAGAAGTAGCCTGACCAACAGCTCTCCTTGTGTGAATAGAGCACGCTCCGCTTCTCTCACGTATCTTAAACCCCTCACCCCGGTCGACAACTGCTGGCATTAACGAAGCGCTAGGCTAGCGGTGTGCAATAAAGGCGTGCACTAGCTAAGATGCTACAAACGTAGCACTCCGCTTCTCTCACGCATCCTAACGTAGCGCTAAGCTAGAGCGCAAATCAGAGGTGTCTCCCCCACCTCCCCCCGCCCCGTTGACAAATAACCCCGAAGAGAGATGAGCTCCCTGCCAAGCCAAGTGACGTTGGGATAACCCTGCCTGCAGTGTGGTGATCTGTTGGAGGTAACCAGGAAAACCCGGAGTGGACTTTAAGTGGTTTGAGTATTTTCCTGTTAATCAAGTGGAATGGATTAATTCACGAAGAAATAGAAACAGCGCTGGGTGAACTAATATTTCATGGTAAATATGTGTGTGTGTGTGTGTGGGGGGGGGGGGGGGGGGGGGTCCAAATGAATATTTTTTAAATGTGAGTGGGACACGTCCCCTTCACATATAATTAATGCAACGCATATGCTTTTCCCCTTCTGATGATGTATCATTTTCCAAACAAATAAAGTAAAAGAACAGACTGCTGACTCAAAGTCAAATCCCTGACTATTAGTTTCCTCTTTAGTCTTTGGTCTCTTGTGTGTGAATGATGTGAACATAAGACAACCAGCGAGTTCTTTCCAGCTGGTTCACAAAAACAAAAAAACACCACAAGCACACAAACAATCTGACATCCCACAGAGAGGCAAGAAAATTATATTGGCTGTTTGTTTAAATGTAAGCGGTGCTGTTAGTGACTGACCTTATCCAGAATGAACTTGTTGAGGTACGGCATGTATCCCTGGTTAGAGACGGGACCCTCGTCATCATCTTTAAAGTGTTCTTCCAGAGCCACCGGGTCATGTGGGATCCTCAAGATTGTACATAAGTTATGAGACAGAACCTGAAATCAAAGTAAACAACCATGTCTAATCCAGCTTTGCTCAGAGGAACATTAGACATAACAGACTGGAAGTGAAGGGACAAAGGCATCATTTGGACAAAGTTAGTAAAAAGTCCTTTCCTAAGTTCCCCTTTGTTTTCTTGTAAGTCGTGCAGTTTTTATTAAGATGTTGAAATGCTAATAACATCATTTATTTAATTAATTCTTGCTCATGTGTTTTACACTAAAAACAAAGGACAAGCCTTGATGCTCCACCGTCTCACAAGAACTAACAAACCTGAATGTGAAAATTCAACCTGAGCCCTTTCAGAAGCTCCTAAACTTTAGTTTGAAGGAAAAGCTGAATGCTGGCACCAGTCATACACCACTTCTTGGGGTACGTTTTAAACAAATTGGGTGACTTTCTTATTGGTCTTGCTCTATGTGAACGTGCTTAAAACTGTAGAAGGGCTGGTTGGCACATTTACCGTATTTTCCGGTGTACAAGTTGTACCTTTTGCAATACGACTTCGACGCCGAAGCAACGTATTTATGTATTTTCCCATATTTATAAACCAATTTTTGACTGAGATATGACCGTTTTCATTCATTCTGACTGAAAATATTTTCAGCCGCTAGATGGCACTCAAGTGGTATGGCATGCCTTTGTGTCATTTAGTAGGTAAAAGTGGCTATGAATGACACAATCGGCTTGCCATAGAAAGCCACCTTTGCCCAGCTCCGGGATCATACCTGGAGCAACCATCAAATCAGCTTAATTTTGTTGCGCCGCCCCAGCAAGATGCAGCTAATTTGACCATTGAAGTGCATTTATTAAGGAAATGTTAAAGTGAGACAAACCTTTACTATAATTTTGAGCAAACAAATAATTGTTTTTAGGTGGTTATCTTGTCAAAGTCCTCCTATGCATGCTCCTAATTTGGCAGTCACTCCATTTTTGGCACAACACCGGCCCACATTTCTGGGTTGTCAGCGTTGACGCGCAACAAACGTGATGCGTCAGCCATGACGCATAATAGATGTGACTTATACGGCAAAGTGACTTATTTATGGTTTTCCCCACTTTATTACACATATTTGGACTGACGTGACTAATACGGCGGTGTGACGTGTACGGCGGAAAATACGGCACATATTTGAACTCCAGTGTTGTGCTTTTGTTCTTATATGGCTTTTGCTGGTGAATATCAATGTTTTCCTGATTAACTTTAGATCATTTGTAGCACACAAAGAGGAGAAAATCAACTCTTAATTTTAGACCAGACAGTATTTTTGGTTATGGACGAATTATACTTGAAGAGAAGCTGCAGGGAAGAAGTCCTGGTAAGTCCTCACAATGCCGCACACGTCACACGCAAACAGAAATTAATGAATTAATTTTTAGTTGATGATGGACGAGACGGAAGAAGAAGATCTTGTGTTTCTGTTGTTATCTGAGGAGAAGTGCCAGTTTGTAGATTTGTCACAAAGAGACACATTTTGACATTTTCGTTACGCAACCTTGTCAGTGAGAAAACTTTGGCATTTCTCATGAAGTAGAAACTATGACACATTTTGTAGTAGAATATTTCAAGTACTACCCCTAACAATGAGGTAAAAAATACTAGAAAATAGGATTCGAGCTCTTATGCTAGCTCTTAGTGATGGATCTTATCATGAGCTGTTAGCAACTTAACCATTGCTGATAGGAGAGACATTTTTTTAATAAGTTATCTTATTAAAATTTTAGTGGCAGATGTGACTGAGTGGTTAGTCACCCACCAATAGGAGAGTTGGGGGTTTGATTCCGCCAGCAGTCACATGCTGAACTGAATGATCTAATGTTTGTCCCATCGGTGAATGAACGTGATCTAAAGCACTGATTAGGTTCAAAAGAATGATTTGTTCAACCGTCTTTGTAGAGATGTGGTAGAGTGATGTATGAATGTGTGAGTGGAGGTAAATAAGGGCACAGATCGTGTTGTAAAGTGCTTTGAGTATCTGGATTAGATAGAAAGGCGCTATATAACGACAGTCCATTTACCGTTGAGAATTCAGCAGAAGTGGTTTTAGTTGTCCCCAGAATATTTAAAACCAGAATCAAGAGGCTGGGGCTTTAGTTTCCAGGTCTCCGTCTTCTGGAAACATATCTGAAGTTTGTGACACACTTCCAGTTACACTTGCACTTGAAAAGGTGCCGTATACATATACTTCAGTAACGTTTATTTAATAAAGGTAAAGCTAAAGATCAACCAGAATGAAGTTCCCTCATAAAATAATTATTTCACGTTGAAAATACCTACTCTGTAGTAATATGTATTTAAAAAAAAAAAACTGCCAAAGATTTCAGAATGGTGTCAGATCGTGTAGATACTGTAGGTGTAGTTTAAAAGTACAGTAATAGTTGAGGACTTTGAAAAAAGAACTTGAAAATGCTCACGAAAGCACAGTTTGGTTCATGAGAAGTGTAAAAACAGGAGTTGAGGAGAAAGAAAAAGCTTCTTTCAGGAGACACGTCTTGCTGGTATTTTGAGGCCTTTGTGTGAAACTGTAAATAACCTTTTGTCTCCTTGGACTCTCTGGCAGCTGAACTCTAACTTGACCTTTATTGTTATTTACTTTTGCTTGGCTGCCACTCATCTGTGTGGGCTTCCTTTAGTTTGACTTGGACTCTCCATCTGATTAACATCCATTCATTAACCAGTCTGTCTCGGGGCTTTGCACAGAAACTGGTAAAGGCTTTCCAGAACCGGAACACGCAGAAGTCCAGAGTCTGTGGGGGGTCCAGCAGGTGCGGTGAAACAGAAGAGCCTTGTGTTTTCAGAGGAAGACGCGTTCAGCATAAAAAAACAAGGCAGAGATGTCCCCAAAGAGCAGAGCGACTCGTTCAGTTATTCAAGAAAACGTGGAGAAACGCGAGGAAACTCACCTTCAGCTGAGATTTAGAAACTTTTCCGCTTTTGTCCACGTCCAGAGCTGTAAACGCGTGCCAAATAGACTTTAAAAGTTCGTCTCGTAGCGCCATAACGCTGGAAATAAAGTCGTTTTTATATATATATATATTTAGTTTTCTTTGCTCCCTCTCTGCGCGTGAAGCTCTTCCTCTCCGGCTGAGCGCGAGCGGAGTCTGACGCCGAGCGAAGGTCACGTGACCTGCGGGGTTTGGAGCGGCGGAGAGAAGAGCGGCAGCACCGCTCAGCGAAAACACTACAACACTGTCAAACACGATTATACTGAATTACATGTGTTTATTGTAAATACATTAAAAATGAGCTTCCGGTGCCATCTTTGCTTCTCTATGATGTCACAAATGTAAACAATGGCTGAATGGGCAGTGGCACTCAAGTGATATGGTATATAGTTTATTCATTTTAAAAAAAGTACAAAACAATTCCATAACAATATAAAAAAAGATACAAAAGATTTAAAACGAAAGGCAGCAGAAAGAAGAAAAAAATCTTATTATATCTGCCCCTTTTTTCAAACAATTATTTCAATCATAATAATTTTTAAAGTAACAGAACAAAATGAATAACTTTCTATTTTTTTCTAATTCTAATACAAAACACACACTAAGCTACTTCATATATACTTTTTTAACAATTCAGTTTTGATCTTTTTCTTAAATGTACACATTGACTTGGCATTTTTCACATCACTCTCTATAGAACATTCCACAATCCAACTCCTTGGATTGAGGTAGACCTTCCCTTCAGACTAGTTCTGAATTTTGATTTGACAAATATCTCTATCCCCTTAAGATTATAACAACTTTGTATTTAAAAAAAAATTTCTTTGGATATTTAATGGTAATGTGTTATTTTGAGCCCTACATAACAGATAAAATACTGTAATCTACCAAATCATGGAACTTCAATAAGTTCAGTTGATAAAATAATGTGCTTGATGGGTGACTGTAATGCTTTCTGGTGATAATTCTTACAGCTCTTTTCTGTAAAATAAAAATAGGCTTTGTAAATGTTTTACACGCTTTCCCCCAAACATCAATGCAATAGATTAAATGTGGAACAATGATTGTGTTATACAACATGTACAGAGCTTTATCATTTAATAATTCCCTGACTTCAAGTCACCTGGTTCCACAATAACCCTCTGGTGAGTCTCTCAGGCTGCACACACAAATGGTCAATTGATAACTCTTTCTTTTTTTTTTTTTTAAATATAGACTGAAAATTTGGAGTGATTATTCACTGCATGTGGCACATGGAATGGAACGAAATTATGTACACAGGGTCCCAGTTACAACCAACAATAAAATGTAAACGGAAAAACAGTAATAAGGTCTAAGATATGAACTAAGAAAAACATCAGCTAAAATTATGCTAAGCACTAATAGCATAAAAACAATACGCTTAACAGCAGCACGACCGTGAGTCTGTGTGAGCAGATGAGCACGCATGAACACAGTAACATGAAACAGATCAGCAGCATAATGAAACAGATCAGCAGCAACATGATGTGATTTTTCACATCCTGATTAGATATTCATGAGTCTAACAGATGGTTCTATATTCTTTATGTATTTTATATTCTTTATTCCTGTTGATCTTTGTTCTTACTGTAAAGTGTCCTTGGGTGTCATGAAAGGCGCTTTTTAAATAAAATGATTATTATTATTATTATTACACTTTATGCTCCTTAACCTCCTGCCTGAGGGGAGCAGGGCAAAAAGTGTGTGTGCTGGGTGAGTGGGGTCCTTCAAGATGCAGGTGGCCCTCTTCCTGCATCTGGAGGTGTAGATGTCTGTGATGGTGGGGAGGCTGACTCCATCAACTTCTGTGCAGCCTTCACCACTCTCTGCAAAGCTTTTCTTTCTGCAGCTGTGCAGCCTCCATGCCGCACGTTGATGCTGGAGCACAGGATGCTCTCCACTGCACATATTATAGCTGTCAACTCTTAAGTGCCAGGGGCAAGTCTAGGATCTGACCTTTAGGGGGTGCTTAGCCCTCGGTGTTGACAATGGCTCTTGGCATGAACATGGTGGCCATTGACATCAGAAGCATTTATAATGTGGGTGGACAAACTGGTGGTGGTGGTGTGGGGCCATGGGGGTCCTCCCCGAGAAAAATTTGAAGAAAGTAGATGCCATTTTCTGCATTCGTTACAGGTTGTTAAACATCTACGTTTACCTACATAAGTAAACACTTGATTCAATAACTATTTAAGAGAACTTGGCACAGAGTGCAATACAGACACGCTAGCTAACATGCTACAGAGTAGTACGTTCACGCAGTCTCTCTCACTGGTACATTTTCATCTTTAAATCACTTCTTGGTCTGTTGCCTTCATACATCTCCTACATGTCTCTGCGTGAGTGCAGCTACAGCGTGCACTCTCAGGACATTATTACCTGCAGTGTTCCCTCAGTGACGACTGAACTAGGAAAAAGGGCCTTCTCCTACTTCGCTCCTGTTTCCTGGAATATCTTGTAAAAAGATCTGAAGCTCTCAAACTTGATCTGAGTGGCTTTAAACATCTGCTAAGTTCCTGGCAACAACCAATGCAGACATGTTCCTGTTTTTTAATCGCTTTACAACCTAGCGGCTTTTTTCTCTCTCAATTTGCATGGTTTCTTTTATGATTTACTGTTGTCTTTGTTGTCATCACTCTTTGTGAAATCTCTCTTGTAAATTAGTTCCCGAGGCTCAGTGGAATTAAACTGGATAAATAAAGGTTGAATGAATAGCGCCGTTACAATACACAACCTGATAAACGCTTTGTACAAAATCACGTGTTAACTGATCATAACAAAGGCCAAACTCACGCAACCAGAAGTTGCACACACAAAAAAGCACAAGTAGCATTAACCTTTAATTTAACTATTAAGCATACAATGTTGTTATGACAAAAAAATGGAGGATTTACTTGCAGTTACCTTTGTACAGATGAACATGTGATACTTCCTGTTTCATTTGTATTCAGCTGCTCATCAGTTTGGCTGCAGGGCTTGATCATCTTTTACATTTTTCCAGACTCAGTTTAGGTTTTGGAAACAGAATAAACTTTATTCCACCCTCTAAAGCAGGACTGTTGAACTAAACTGCTCAGGGGGCCAGTTACTTGTAGTCAGCAGCTCAGGGGCCCAACATCCAGGAATTAGTCATTGCATACATAAACCAAGTCTGCTACCTTTTAAATGCATTTTGTTTGTTGCATTCAATCATAAATGCAATAAACAGCACCCAAACCCGCCAAAATTTAATATATACATTGTCTTTTACTTTATTTTTCAGGGGTGCAGGTGAAATTTAGGGGTGCTTGAGCACCTGCAAAGAGGCTAAAATCGCCACTGCTAAGTGTTAATAAATCTCATGAAATTTCACAGTAATGCATAAAATTTTCTCATTTTTCTATATATCGTTCATAATATTTCCACAGAACTTCACTTTAAAATGCCAAAATATCTAAAGATTGTATTTACCGGTGGATTGCACGTTTCTAATCAGGTTGTATAATTTTGAAAGATGACTCGCACACACAATTTTAGAACTCTTAAAAGAGCGAGTAAAGAGAATTTATTAAAGAACATATGTACATGGTTTGGAAAAAAAAAGCTTTTAGTTAGAAGATGCAAGAAAGACGAGAAATACTTTAAACAGTACTAGATGATGAGCTTAATGAAAACGGTGAAAAGACAACAGGACGACGATTGTTCTAATGCTACAGGAAGGGCTGGCAGCACTGATCATCAACAGGGAGGAACCAAAGACTGGACAACTCAAACCCCACTCTTTATGGGTTAAAACTACTGGTTTTGATCGTTAAAACAAATACCATGATCCATTTTCCATTTGACCAAGAAAAGAAGTATTAAATGGCACAAAAAGACTTCTTGTTCTTGACAAAATGGAGCCAATGACCTCTAGAATGATCCAAAACTTCGACTGACCAAACCCAAGTACGTACAAAAACATCAATAGCAGCAAGTTTCTTTACTTATTCTCATAATAATGTGGCAAGTACCACACGTTGCCTCCAAAGTGCTCCTTTAGAGATGTCAGTCCACAGACCCTCTGGTACCCAGCATCAGGCTTATGACAGGCAGTAAGGTGCGAGCCGCTAAGTCAAGTACATTCACACAGAAGAGAGCTTCACTGCAGCTTTAATCTGCTGCCAGCAGGCTTCGGCCAAGTCGAGGGAAGTGCAATGACAACATGGGAAAGAGCCGGACATCTACAGAAACTTTAAAAAGGTAAACTACCTTTGAGAAATGAGCCTGAAAGTGAAAGGGCTGAACTGTGCACAGGAGTCTGATGAGAGAACGTTCAGTTCAGTGTAGGAACAGTCTACAGCTTTGGTTGGGCAGAAGAGCCCAACGTAACGGACAGGGTTCTGCTCTGAAAGAAAAGAATTATACCCTTTCAGCTGAAGGGACTTGCTCAAAAAAAAGGTCCAGGAGTCTTTGTGTTTCACTTCGCACAGAAGTCTCAGTAGATCGTAAGGCTGACCGACCGATTCATCTTTTTTCCAATGAGCCTTGAAGTTTTGGGGTTGGACTGGACTGTGGAGCGGGTCAGGACCCTATCGGTGGACAGAACCTTCTCCTCAGCAGCTGCTCTGGCCAGCTGGGCTTTCTTCAGCTCTCTGAGGTTCACAAAACAAGAAAGAGAATCAAATCAACACGTTTACAACATTTCATCACCAGCACAAAACAAAAGCTACATAAACATTGTGAAATTCTGACTAAATGATTTTGGACACTTAGGAAATTGAAGTAATTATGAAAGGCCAAATGTAAAAAAAATCCAATAGAAATCTTCAGAACATGCATAGAGTTCATTCAATATTCTACGAAGAGGATCGGCTTCCAAAGTTTCACTTGCACTTACTTTTGAAGCAGCGCGTTCTTGAACTTCTCTGCGTTGAGCTCAACTCTGAGCTGGTCTGCGCTCATTCTGGCAGCCGTCAAAAGTACCGGGTGCTTTATTAGGTCCGAGGCCGACGGCCGCCTGCTTGGGTCAGTGTGGATCATCAGCTGGAAGGGCAAAGTAAAAGATAAAAACGGCGTTTTAAAAAGCCAAAAGACGGCGCCGATCTTCAAACGGATCAAAGAGAACAGATCGAAGCCCCTTAGGTCAGCTGCTTTCCATCTTTACCTTGAGCAAGCTGAGGAACTCAGGAGAAAGCACTTGTGGGATGGAAGGCAGTTTGCCTCGTCTGATTTCATGCCATTTTTCTCCGTTAGTGGGTAGAGGCTCAGCCCCCGAGGCACTTATGATGGTGAGAGCCAAAGCAAAGATGTCTGCCTTTGTTAAGTTCCTGTAGTCCTGCAGAGACAAGTGAACAAGATTTACCAACTCTCTTGGAGCTGAACAAACCGACTGAGGAGCAAGTCGTCTCAGGGAGTACTAACCTCTTGTAGGACTTCATTGGCCAAATATCTACTGTCTCCCTCTTCTACCTGAGGGTTGTTCACTCTCGTCACATGACCGAGATCACCTGGGGGGGGGGAAAAAAGCATCTATGAATATTGGGAGTTTAACCTTATATTAAAATAAACGCACAAGCACAACTGATCAGTACTGTTCAACTCTGAGATACACACCAATCTTGTAGATGACACTAGTCGTTACTCCATCATCTTCATCAGATTCATCACAGCTCGCTACGGATTTTCGAGAAATGAAGATGTTGCCTAGAACAAACGTGAACACTAAGAGTTTACATTCAGCTTAGACATGGGCTGGTTTCTGACGAGGTGAAAACACTGGTCAGAAATGGCACCAGTTCAAATTCATACATCAAGTTAGAATAAAATCGTACAAATAAAATTATCTTTATGTACAAAAAAATACAACTATCATTAATATTCTATCAATTGTTAGTCTGATGGTCCTCCTTTTGCATGTGAACGACTAGTTCTGGCTGTCAGCAGCAAACTGGTTGATCCACTACGACAGTGCTTCTCAATTATTTTCTGTTACCCCCCCCCCCACCCAAGAAGAAGTAAACATTCCACGCCCCCCCAAACCTATTCTTATTTAAACTGTAAACATTTTAGACCATTTGATACTGAACAGTCAAATTAAATAAAATCAATAAATAATAATAAATTCAAATTGATCAGCAACATTTAAAGTCAGGAGTGTTGTAGAAAACACTTTGACCTACAAAACAAAAAAATAAATAAAACAATTTGTGCTGATTTATTTTATTTTTTTAATCAAAATGAGGAAGTCAGGATTAATGGCTACAATGAGCACGTTTTGCAGTTTGAAACATGATCCTGCAGCTCTCAGCTCCTGCTCAATGTTTATCTGGACCTGGACTTGGTCTCAGTGCAGCAGAGAAGCTGCAAAGAGTGTGTGTGTTGGGGGGGGGGGGGGGTCCAGGGGAACGTGATTACATGAGAAGAACCTGACAAGTTGTTTAATGACATAAAATATATTTTGTTATCAAAGAATAGAGTCCTAACATTTGTTAAACATACGTTTTTCCAACAAAAAAAAAAAAAAAAACATCCAACTTGTGCTTTGACGATCGATAAAACTAAAAAATGTTGTCAATGTGAAAGAGGGGGCAGGTGTCGCTCTCGCTTTGAGTTTATACTCTTTGTTGCTGCGTGATGTGGGTGAAATGTGTCCAGAGCGGAGGACTTGTTAGTAAAGAATAGAGTCCTAACATTTATTAAACATTATTTCTGTTTTAAAAAACATCAAAATTGTGCTTTGACAAACCAAAAGACAAACCAAAAAAAGAGGAAGAGGGAGAGGGGCAGGTAACGCGTGCTGCAGGTGACGAGCGTCACCAGCTGCTCAGCAGCAGAGAGAAGCAACACGGTTCAAGCAGGACTCCCCAAACGACAAGACACACATATTTGTTCATAACTTTATTATTATTAAGACTGAGAGTTGCCGGATTTTAGCAAACAGTTGCCTAACGCACCCTGACAAAATGAGAATGGTGCAAAATAAATAAATAAATACTCATGGGGTCACATGTCTCTCCCCCCCCCCCCCATTGCTCCGGCCCCCCCACAGGGGGGCACGCCCCCCTATTTGAGAAGGACTGCACTATGAGAAGATGCTGCTCATAAGACTGAGGCCCTGTTTACACGAGAACAATCTCTGGAAACTGTGTTTTTTCAATGTTTAGTGGAGAAAATGAGCAGGTTTACACAAAAACGTTGTAGTTTCCATGTCAGTCAGGTTGCCAGATAAGAAATTATGAACTATAGTACTGTCACTTTAAAATGATAATATTTTGACATAAACTGTCATATGTGCTGAGCAAGCGTGTTGTAAGATGAGGTGTGTGTGATGTTTGTTGAACATGTGCACAGAAAAGAAGGGGGGGGGTAAATAAGAGATTTTAAATTTATCTGGCAACTCTGAGGCTCAACTGCACTCATCGTGCATGCAGCGTCTGCATGATCCCGGTTAGTCCAAAATGGTGAATACACTAAAGTCTCTTTGGAGCCTGGATTTAATTAGTTTTGCTGCTACATGCAGAAAAAGGGTGAGCAGCACAAAAACACTGCTCTCTGCCATTTATTACAACTGTCGTCGTTTATTACAACTGTTATTTATTACAACTGTCGTCGTTTATTACAACTGTTATTTATTACAACTGTTGTTAGTGCAGAAAAACTTTGGATAAAAGATGAAACGTTTTTAAAAAAAAAATCTGCCCAGAGGACTTGACTTAACCTTGTTAGATTAGTTATCATTAATGATGCTGCTTAAATAAACTGAAATTACTATTTTATTGTTAAATTTATTTATAGGTATTTTATTGTATGGCTGACCAAATAGATGGTTATGAATCAGGTGTCTATAAACAAAAATATAAAACCAAGCTCAGTGTATTTAATCATTTCTGTATTTTGTCGTCATGCTCGTTTTTTTTTCTCCTCCTCCTTTTGGCTGCTCTCTTTTCTTCAGGGGTCGCCACAGCAAAATAACTCGCACGAAGACGTGGCAATTATTTTTTACGCCGGACGTCCTTCCTGGCTCAACCACAGATCACCGAGCTACCACATCCCTCTGTGTGGAGCAGAGAGCTGCCATCACACGGGGGAGCAGGTGGTGGGGCAAATGAAGGTGGAAACGGGTGTGGGTGCTTCACCTTTCCCACACACTTGTCAAACCAGCGAACTTCCGATCACAGGCTCACCTTCTCCAACCTCTGCGCCACCACTCCCCCCAGTCATCATCCTGAAGTAACCATGTTTATTATGAAATATATAACTTCCTTTTTGTAAAGCAACACTGGGAGCCCAGAGGGGCATTGCAGAGTGGGACACTGGCCCCTGCACGTATGTGGCACGTGTTTGCACCTGGTAGTTGAGCGTGCCAATACTATCAATACCGTATGTGAGACTGACGTTACACTGTTTATCAAAGTTGCCACAAAGGTGTTAAGAATAATGCTGCACTCAAAACATTCCATTGCAGAGTACTCACTGGGTTTTATGTCCATGTGCACCAGGGACATGGAGTGGATGTATTTGAGGCCACGGGAGACTTGCAGCAGCAGATCCTTCAGCTGCAGCTCAGACAAATACGTGAGCTGTCTGTAGTTTTCTGTGATGACGTCAGACAGCGTGCCGCCGTTGCAGTACTCATTCTGGATGAGCATGTGGTCATCCTCAGCCCAGGCTGAATAGTACCGCACCACATGAGGATGTTGGCCAAGCACAGCATGGGCATACACCTCTCGCAAAGCGTTCTGCCTACGAAACAAGACGCACACCGAAAAAGTCAAGTAGATGCTTGGATGCTCTTTAGAAATCAAATCCACACCAAGCTTCATTCAACACCTAACAAATATGATCTACTCACTCGTCCACTGATCCTGCCAAGGGTTTCTTCGACCTCTTAATAGCATAGATGCAGCCATCAAGCCTTTTCACACACTTAAACACAGCGCCAAACTCCCCAGCGCCGATTTTCTCCAGCTCAAGAAACTCCGAGGTGTAGCGGGACATCATGTTGCTCTCCATAATGGTGACCCTCTGCAGGTAAGAGAAGTTAAACATTAACCACTCGACCAGTTCAAACTCGTTCACAGACGGCCTTAAACCATGTTTAGCATAACAAAGCAGTTTGAGACAATCTGCATGAGAACTGATACACAACAGTTGCTTACAGCTTCCACTTTGTCCTTACGACTGTTGAGCAACACGTTGGCGTTTTTCTCATATTGGGTATACGAGGACGACCGAGCTTAAAAACCTTTTTCTGAACCTTTTTGGCCTTGGTTGTTCTCAGGCTGTTTCTGTGAGTAGCAAGTTGGCCATCTGGCCTAAAACATTTGACCGATATACAAGATGATTGATTGTTTCGCACGTGTTAAAAGCCTGCTTCTGTTTGAGATCCCAACAGGACGTTGGCTCAGTCACATTAACATTTCTGCCTTCAAAAAGGTGGACGTGCCGTTAAGTCCGTCTACAATGTGTAAATTATTTTCCCATATCTATAAATGCAAATCGCAAAAGCATTGTTTCTTTTTACCTTAGATGGTGGAAGGACTTCATCCTCTCCTTCCCCATCACTTGCCTCCATGTCTTCTCCACATGAGCTGAAACAAAAAAGGGGGAGGGGTGTTGTTGGTTTGCATTCTGTACTGATGGGGGCAGCACTGGAAGCCTCACAAGCACATGGCCGAGTTCATCAGTAACCATGAAGTATTGATATCCACCCCCACCAAAGCCATAATGAAACGCTTTGTCATTAACCGCTTGCTTTGACAAAGACAACCAGTGTAGTTGCACAAACGATGACACTCACCCCCCCCACTCCAAAACACGATAAACCAATAAATCAAATGCCGATTCTATCCACTTTTATAGGTGCTCTTCAGAACGTACCAAGGATCCCGTACAAACTGAATTCAAGGGGTTTTCCCTGAGAAACAACTTACTCATTCCAGTGCGCCCTCTTCCTGTTGTTTCTCTGTTGTGTTGCAGACTGAATGAGGATGGAGTCAGGAGTGAAGGGGTTGAAGTTCACCAGGGGGATCTGCCGTTTCCTGCCGCTGTCTGTGACAGACTTTCGCGGGGACTCTACATTCTTGAAGAGAGCAACTCTCCTGCTGGAGGATCCCGTTCCAGAACCCCGGGCCTTTGACAGTAAACTCTACGAAAAAACAAAACAACTGAATTATTGGACGCAAGAGAAAAATGTATATTGCGGAGCCATTGGACCAGGGGTCTGCAACCTGTGGCTCTGGAGCCAGATGTGGCTCTTCGGTCCCTCTGCAGCGGCTCTCAACATAAAACGGACATTTATTGGTCGTTGTACAAACAAGAAGAAATGGCTCGTTTTAGCTGTTTTCTTGTCATTTATTTTGCCAACATGTTAATTAATGATTGTAGAACTAATACACGCTAGTAGTTTGTTAGCCACTTTTTTTTTTTAGCTCACGTCCAGTCGTACGTTGTGATCTTTTCCTCAAATCCACCAAGTTGCTACGAAATACAGTGAGTCAACTTGATAATAAAAATTAACGGGAAAAAAAAAAAACAAAGTCAAAGCAACTGGAAGTATTTATTTTAATTTTTAAATCTAATTACGTATCCAACAAACTGGCCTAATTTTTAACATTATGCTTTATTACTTCATAGTAGGCCTATGAATTGTTTCCACAATTAAAAAGCAAACTCACAAGCCTGCGTATGATATTTTATATTGGTTTATTTTTTTTTGTCTCCTTTACACAAATCCAGTCTTTTATTTTGCCTTAAAACTATAAAATATATCAATAAATATTAATAATAATTTGATATTTTAGTTTCATAATATCACACCGACTGGCTGGAAAAGCCCCCTCCAACATGGTTTCAGTGGGCCATGAGCCACCAGTTGATTTGGCTTTTGACACCGTCTGTATTCTACAGTTAGCCATTTATCATCTTTGTCCTTTTGGATCTATGTATATTTTACTGTGCGCTTTACTGTTTGTTTGTGCTGTACAGCACTTTGGTTGGCCTAGTCGCCGTTTAAAGTGCTCTATAAATAAAATGGTATGGTATAGTCACAGTTTAGCAGCTCCATAGAGGTTTTATTTAATGTGCAAAGGGGCAGAAAAGGCTATTTTGATCATGCAGGTTGCAGAGCCCTGGTTTAGACCAGCTTGCTTCTGGTTTCAAACAAAAAGCTAAATAAAAGCTTTTTCACTGATATTTGTAATCCATAAGATATAAAACTGCAGGTTCTCATTATTATAAGACATAACACAAAAGAAAACTTTATGCAACAGGTACAGTTAAAGTAGGTCAGTTGTAAACCTGTAAAAACAAGACTGCACTTTATCCACTTGTAATATCTGATGACGTCAAACCACGCATTTTAAGCGCATACAAAGAGGTCTAAATATAATTATTTATGATCTGAGCTAGTCGTTTAAATCCACCAGCATCAGTGTAGACATTTAGAAGCCTAACCTTTGGTGTGTGTGGTGTGTCGAACAGTCTGAGTTTTCTGAAGGTTTTGTGGGGAGGTGTGTCAGGACAGTCCGGGATCGGGGAGCTGGACCCTTCCCCGTCCTCCTCCTGGAGAAAGCTCCGCTCCGGAGACCCCGCGTACAGCCGCGACGCCTTCTTAGGAGACGGAGAACAGTTGGCGAAGATCACGCTGCTCGGGGAGCGCTGGTGGGACGCCGGAGAGCCCAAGTCCTCCTCGTCCCACAGCTCCACGTCGTCCGACTGGTTGAGGGGGCTGCTGCCGCCTTCCAGCCGCGTGTCCGAGGCGTCGCTCCGGGCTGGCATCGGGGAGTCCATCTCCGTGAAGCCGGACTCGCCCCCGGTGCTGTTGTTGACGTCCTCGATGGGCTCGTCCTCTCCGTCGCTGCACGTGAACTGCAACTTCTGACGAATCGGTCGAGACTTCGGGGAAGCGTTTTGGTGCGGACGGCGAGTGTAGCACGACATGTTCCAGGATTTAAACTCCGTCGACGGGGAAGTTAGTAACTGACGCGGGTGGACCCCCGCTTAAAAAAAAAAAAAAAGTATAATTAATTACCTTTGCGTTAAGGTATCAGTTTAAAAGGTTTACTTCGATTTCACGAAAAAGTCTTGCGCTTGTTTGCAAATATGGCCTCGGACTGCCGTCGTATGAGCTCCGGGACGACCGACGTCCTCAACAGCACGAAGAAACGGCAAAAGCTCCGTCCATCCAGTCGCGTTGCGTCCCCTTCACCGTCGTCTTCGGCCACGCAGACACAGAAACACGACTTTCCACAATAAAAACTTAGCAATGTTTACAAAAAGTTTGAATGAGTCACGTACGGAGTTCTTCCCATCACGCGCGTGGCAAAAGACTTCCCGCGACCGTTGATCACGTGCTCCGTTTCAGCCAATCAGGGCGCGCCTGGGATTTTTGAAAGATGGGCGTTCCGTAGAGCTTTTGGGAGGAGTTACGTCAGCGATTCCAACGCGACAATATGGCGCGAAGGTGCGGTATTTCTCAACCTTTGTAGTCTGAAGTTATAAAAACCACAAAACAATGCGTCTATTCATTAGGCGGCACGATCAGAGAAAGCTAAAGCCAGAAACAATTATATACACCACATAGTGCTTAACCTAGATGTCTAATTGTTTAAATGTATTAAGAAAAAAGCCCAACAAGTTACAAAAAAAACTTTTTTTTGTCTTTTTAAACTAATTCTTTATCTGTAAAACACTGGGCGTCAACATTATAGCATATTTAATGAATTACTGTACACAAAATGTACTAAAACTTTATTTAGCTCAACTGATGTAATAAATGAGTCACAGGATGGTCATGACGGAAAATTTCAACAAACTGAAATAACTGGTTATTTAAAAAGTTTTTATCAGGTGTTTTTTTTATGCAATGAAAGAGTTCAGTTGTCTGCTATAATACAGATCTTAACTTCTTTTGTTTTTATTATTTTTGGTGTTACATTTAAATTATTTGTTAAATGAGATGAGCCAACTTGCTCTACTTGTTCTGTTGCAAACCCCTTTTGCTCATAAAGTTAAGCAAATGTGAAGACTTGTATACAAGTATTGAGTCAAAAACATTCACACAGTCTTTTTTTTAATTAGAAATAGCATTTACTGTACACCGCAATGAGCAATTATAACATTAGAAAGCATTTTCCCCTCTAATTTTTATGAGAGGCAAAATATGAAAAAACATTTATATAAAAAGGTAAATTAAGTTGTGGAAACAAACAGGAGGAAGAATAAAGATTTCTTCCAAATATATAGTTCATTTTAAACTGTCTTTCTTTTAATAAGTCCATCAATCGTCCAGGTCCGGAGACTCTCCTTGTTGTATTCTTGATGCTATTCTGATGGCTTCCTCCAGCGAAGGCTGATCACTGAGCTAAAAAACAACAGAATATTAAAAACATGGACCGACTCTGACGACCACTGTTATTCTATCACATTCTAACCATTTATTTACACTACCACCTCATAAAAAAAGAATTAAAGCTCTGACTGACGGTGTTATAGACTGCTGTGTATCATGGATTACAGTCACATAATGAAGAAGGAGAAATGACTGTTTTAAATCAACATAAGAAAAAGAGCACATGCTAATTAAAGACAGAACTTTAAAAAAGTTGGAAATCAGACTTTGAGCTAATCATGACCCCACCTTTCAGAGCTAAAACAGTCAATAGACAGTAACAGTCAGTATTTAAATTTAATGTAAACTAAAATAATTTATTAGTGAGCAAACAAACATGTTAGTTACATGTTTATAGTACACAGTAGTCCCTCACATAATGGGGGTTACGTTCCAGACACCCTCGCGATGTGTGAAAAACCGCGAAGTAGGGACGTTATATTTATTTTAGTATTTATATATATTTTAAGGTTTTATAAACCCATCCCACACTCTTGCAACGTTCTGAATGTGTTAAACTTTCTAAACGCTCTAAAAGAGCACAGCAAAAGAGAGCAGACAGATTAATCCTACGGTTACTGGGCCCTTGCCGGGGCAGACTGGCCATCAGGAGCACCGGGACATTTTTCACAACACAAATAAACAAAAAAAACTAACAAAAAAATTCCTGGTGGCCTGGCCCGCTCAATGATCACCGAAGGGCTGGACCAAACGCTTGGCTCGGTCACACTTGATTATTTTAAAAAAATAATCCATGTCGTTCACTCTGGTATACGGCTCATTGAAGCTCCTTGAGCAGTACCGATGGGGAAAGACAGACCCCACCCCCACCCCCTCCTTTCGCTTTCTGAGACGGTCTGTCACAGCAGAGCAGACACACAACAGGTTGCGTACCCGTCTGCTGTGTGTCTGCTCTGCTGTGACAGACAGCCTCAGAAAAAGAAAGGAGGGGGCCTCTTGACGATCACTGAGCGGGCCAGGCCACCGGGAAATGACCTCTCGATGGCCGGTCCACACCTCAGCACAATGTTCTGGTTGGTCGCCTTCTATCAATCAGTCAATCATGTGTCGTGTACAATCTTACGTTGAAAACGTGCGAAAGTGTGAGTCCGCGAACGTCAAACCACGAAGTATCGAGGGACTACTGTATACACAAAATGACCTGATTTAGCCACAAACTGAAAACACAAACTTGAGAAGATGATTCCAGTCACTTCACTCCACTTTTAGTAACAACAACTTTAGTATTGTATAAAAGCAAGCTGGTGGTTATATTAGTTATATCATCATGGGATTTACATCTTGATAATGTTAAATTTGAGTTTATTTTGAGCAGTGACTGAATGGGCCTTCAGGAGTGCAGCAGCACTCCAACATCTCCTGACATCATACCCTGCAGGAAACTTCTAAGAATTGAAGCAAATAGCTTGGCAGGGTGTGACCTGAGGAAGGTTTACATTGTTAGACTAACTTCAGTACTCCGTCTTGACCGAGTCACAGTCCACAGTATCCTGTTGTAATGTGAAGATTTTTCACACTCAAAGCCAAAAACCTTTAGGAACCATGCAACTTGAAGGAAAAGGCAAAAAGAAGTAAAGTTTACATCTGATTTTGTGCAGTAACCGTATGTGTTTTTTAGTGTAAATAGTCTCTGCAGAGTGAAAATGGGTACTTTCTAATCAAAGTGCACAACTTTTTAATCATGTGATCTTACAGGCTAGAAAATGTTTGATAGTATAAACAACTTAAAAATGACCAGCACAATTTACATTTCAGAACAAAGAGCAAATATTGTTTTTTTAGTTATATTATAACTAATCAATGTATTTCAGTGCTTAGCTTCACCAGCTAAGCTATTCCTTTCAAACATGGAACATTTCAGGTATATAAACACCTACATGTACAGATACACGGATTAAAGCAGAAAAAAATATTTTGTCTGAAATGTTTTGTACACCTAGAAGTTAACCCCCCCCCCCCCCACACACACACACACACACACACACCAATACCACACAATTGAGAGCTTTTTCCTGCATACAGGTCACTTCTCAAATATTTTCCTGTAAAGTACCTTATCTTATGCTTTATACTTTTTATTTAAATACTTACTGTGACTGTCTTATACACAATATACTGTGTACATGATGACCTTAGTAAAAGTACACAATATACTGTGTACATGATGACCTTAGTAAAAGTACACAACATACTGTGTGCATGATGACCTTAGTAAAAGTACACAATACAGTAGTCCCAGTTCGTTTTTCTCATTCTATCACGGTTTTTCAAAATAAGATTGGACATGGCACACAATTGGCTGATTGATGGATGAGCCGCACGATCGGCATGGAAGTTTTATTTAAAATAAATTTAAAATTATTTAGCACCTGCTGCACCTGTGTGCAGCCCACATCTGTGGGAGAAGCTTCCTCCTGCAGCTGATCAGCTGATCTTCGCGCACAGCGGAGAAGTGGGCGTGGCTGAGAGTGCGGCCGGAGGCAGACAGCTGAAATCATGACATTCTGTGCTCTTTTAGAGCGTTTAGAAACATTGTTTAGAACATCGTAAGAGTGTGGGAAGGGTTTAAAATGCCTTATAAAAAAATATTTATATACAGTATGAATACTAAAATAAACTACTACGTACTACTTGTACTACTATTCCTACTTCGCGGTTTTTCACTTATCGTGGGGCTTAAGGGTACGGATCCCCTGCGATAAGATGTTAGATGTTTAAGATAAGATGTTTAATTTAAACTTTAATTTATTATGTCATCACCTTCATAAATAAAAAGGGCAGGTGGTTCTGTTAGGGTAGCGGGGAGTCCTTGGTTTAGTTTCTCTCTGCTGCTCACCGTGAACCAGACCGCACGACCCGCCCTGCTCTGATTGGGTCAAAATGGCTCTGGTTCTCTTTACTGGTTGAAAGCAGCGTCAGTTTAATTCCTGTATCCTCATTAGATCGTTTGGTTTTAACAAGAACACAACAAAACACTTATTCTTCCCCCTCTTCATTTTATGACGGACATTCGTCCTGGCCACGTTCAAAATTACAGAAATCCACTGCGGCGACGGAGAACTTCAATCTATGCAGATTCATCCAGTTGTTTTCTTTAGAAGTGAATTCAAAGAATAGAGTCACTAATCCTTTGAATAAGCTGGTGTGGTGCTGGTCAACTAACCTGTACAGCAATGTGAGTCCCATTAGAGGTAGCCAGTAATGTGACCGCATGAAGATCTTCTGTGTCGTGACTGTAGTTTGTTTCTTCCACAGTTTGGAACGAGGCCATGTCAGGCGTCATGATGGCAACCTGAGGATGACAGCGATATGCTTTACTGGTTGATGAAGTCGTTAATGCTGCATATCATGTTATACAGTGGATCTGGAGCATATAGAAGACAGCAGTTGTAGAGGTTTATGAAGAAACTTTTTACTTAGCTGGTGATATCAGTAAATAACTATCTTTAGAAGCTCTTGATCAAAATGTTTAGTTTCAAGTCCTTAATTTAAAGCGATGTGTTTTTATTATTTAGAATGATGTTTTCAGAATTAGCTAAAATTTAGGGTAAAACGAGACTTCAAATTAAAAGCTTTGCAAGTCTTAAAGGAATGCATTTTACGGTGCTCAATGCATTTCATGTGAAGGGACGAGAGTTATAGCTGTTTTTGCATTGGCAAATGTTAATTATATATTTAAAAAAAACAAAGTGAAATAAAGGAATTCCTTTCACAAGAACCAAGAACAGGTAAATTTATCTTAATCTGTGAGAGCAAAGTTTTGGACTGGGCGTTTCACGTGAGACAAAAGGTTATCGTTTTTCCTTCCAAAGAGAGCGAACTCGCTTGAACGATTTGGAAATTGTTTTACGCTGGAAACCCTTTCTGACGCAACCTGGGTTCGAACCCACAAGATCAGGATTACAAGACCACAGCACTGACCATCATCTACCGCAGCCACCAGAAGACAACAGGTTATTTCTAGTGATGTTCACGTTAACTCGTTATTATCGCGTTAACGCAGCAATTGGTAAACGTTGACAATTATTTTAACGTGCGTTAATACTGCTAGGCTTCGTTTTCCTCCATAATTTCTCTCCTCAGCGTCTATGAACACACACACAGCACTCCAGCCGGGGGATGGCTTTCCAGCTTGAGAGCGAGACAAGGTCCGCCTCAACGAGGATTACGTCCAATCACATTGAAGCTCACGTTGTCTTGACCAATTACTAACAGGAAGGCGGGTCGTAGGAAAGCAAGCAGGTGGAGAGCTGAAGGTCCAGTTCTGTTGGAGTGGCAGAGTTCGGTTCACAAATGCAACATGGATCTAAGCGATTTAATTTGTGTCAAATGCACAGACTTTAAGCTGCACAACAGATTTTAAATCGTGTTGATTGGCCAAGCAAAACCAGAGTTATGATCAATGAATCCACGCCACATCTTATTTCCTGAAAAGCAGCTCTGAAGTGGCTTTGAGCAGAGACTGCAGCTCTGAGGGACAAAAACCTTTGTCTGTCTTTGTATTCCCTTTGCATTCACCTCCCACCCCCCCGCCAAACAGGTAAACAACCCCGCCCCCCTTCTGACGGAGGGTCGCGCCACAAAATCTGCACAAGAATAAGAAAATAACGTAGAAGTTGAATTGAGTTCAGCGCAATAAAATCAGCTATTTCTGTGTGGGTGAACGAGAGCGTCCGAGCCCGCATGAGGTCTGAGTCTGTGCAGAGGTGGGGGGGTCCAGAACTCCTATGACTGGGCCAACATCAGATCTCTGATGCTTGGTTCTTCTGTTGGCACGCACGCATGGACGGATAAAAATAATTTAAATTAGATATATTTATTTGAGGATGGCAGCTCTAAGACCGACTAGTTTTTAGTGGAGGAAATATTTAAAACTAGTATTTTTAAGAAGGTTGATTTTTTCCCCCATGAGGAACATGATTAAATAAATAAAGTTAAAGTTTTACTCATTCAACCTTTATTTATACAGGTTAGTTCCCACTGAGTCTCGAGGACTCATTTACAAGAGAGACCTGTTTCAATTTAAAACCCGTCTTATTCAAATACGATGTTACAGAAAACAAAGTGACGTTTTTGAGCTGCATGCGTTCAGCAAAATAAAAAATAAAGATAAATTCATGTGAAATGATTATTAGATTATTGTAAATGTATGTTATCTCGCTCTACATATTGATTGACAGCTGCTGCTGATTGACTTCATAACTCTTGATGCTGCTAAGAAAATAAGTATTCACACGTAAAAGGCGGCTCATCAGCCTACGACTGGTCTTTAATGCCTTGATGGCTGCACAGAGGGCTGAGTGATGAAATAACAGCATTGTAATGGGGATAGTTGAATAAGGAGATCCCCACCCCCGTTTAAAGATGGATGGATTCTCTTCATAAAGAGGTCTTCTTTTACTCTCTCAATTCAGCATCCTCTGTTATGAAGAACATGTATGTAAGAATATCAATCGTATCACTCATCCCCTGGTGAATAGCAAAGAGTTCTTATGATCAGTTAGGTAGATGGTCCTCCTTTTACATGTGAATACTGGTTCTGGCTAGCAGAAACTGGTTGATGAGCGCTATTTGAGGAAGTCTTTTGGATAAAAGACAAAACATTTCAACAAAGAAGAATCCGTTCAGAATTAACCTGTTTAGATTTATCTACCTGAGTTATTGAGCAGCATCAGGACATAAACTGTTCATGATGCTCCTGATTTAAAAAGGTTTATTCTTGTAACTTTTCAGAAAAAACAAACATGCACTGTATATTTTTGAATTTGTTGTTAATCTGTTTTTTTTTTTTTAAAAAAGGTTAAAAACAAAACAACTGGACTTTATATGTAACTGAAGATATAATCTGTTATGACTGTGGTTTTGTGTTTGAAGGAATTTTTTATTTTCCTCTCTATAATAAACTAAAACATTTTGCCCTGGAGAATAGCTTTGGTTTTATATTTGATATGTTGTTTATGTTACTAGAAATACTTTAATTGTTAGGAGAACACTGCTGTTAAAAAGTGCCTTTTTAATGTATTGAACATTTATTTAAACATAAAACAGTTCCTTAAAAATGTTCTAAACAACTTTGTCATTTTAATTTTGTGCATACGATGAGATTAATCGTGATTAATCGCAAAATATTTGATTAATCGCAAAATATTTGATTAATCGCGATTAAAATTTTTAATCTTTGCCCAGCACTAGTTATTTTATCTAAATTGAAAGTCTAAAAGACACAAATGTCTGAATTACGGCACCTACTGACCACGATTGGTATTACACTTTAACGTTCCTACATTCAAGGATTCAAAGTTCTTTATTTACATCAATCATTACAAATATCATTTATTAACAACAATTTCGACTAACAGTGAATGCTGCCAAATAATTATTTTTTACAGTCTGAGAATAAAATAAATATTAAAAAGATGTGTCTTAGGATGACGTTACATATACAAGTTGCCACTACAGGTGTAGTCGTTTTTTGATTCTAGCTCAAATCTGTTTGTTTTCATAAAATGAAACAAGTTGATTTAAAAAGACCAACAGGTGCATTTTTTTGGGGTTACTAAAAAGCAAAATAAAAATAAAAAAAAAAACTATGATCACAGCAATGTTTTCAGCCATTTCCAGAGTAAATGGGAGAAATGGTTGTAGATTAGTGTCCAACAACCAGAAAATAATGTAAACCACCTGCAGAAGGCGTGGTAGTGGGAACAATTGTGCCAAAATTTAGTAAACAACCCCCCCCCCCCCACACACACACACACAAATAAAAATCAAGTCAAATAAAGAATCACATTTTAAAAACATAACCCTCGTAACATACTTGAGAGTTTTAACAGCTGTGTACCTGTTCTCCTGACCCGTCCGTTGCTACCATAGTAACGGAGTGAGCGCCTTGCGATGCCAGTTCATGAGCTGGGATGGTTATGGTTGTGCCTTCCTGGGTTACCATGGTGATGGTGCCTCCCATAGCTTGTAGGTCCGCTTCAGAAATACTGACCTGATATGATGAACAATACAGACAAAAGTATATTACGGTAGGTTTCACAATAAATTATTCAAAGCATCCATGACTGTCTGAAGTCCAAGTTATTCAGTCTGAACCGATGCCGTAGCGGTCAAGTTTGTAGGGGTGACCAAATTTTACTGTATACTTAAAAACAGACTGGCCACATGTTGCAGATTCTGTGAAGTTGAATTGAAAGGTAATCTACCATATCACTTTATTTATAAAGCACTTAAAAATCTAAGGATTGAGTACCGTAATTTCCGGACTATAAGACGCTACTTTTTTCACACACTTTGAACACCATGGCTTATCCAATACTGCAGCTAATTTATGGATTTATATATTTTTTTGACGGGCTAAAGAGCTTCATGCCGCCAAAGCATTTAGCCTCGTCACACCTGGGCGCTCACATAGCTGCCCCATGCACGTCTCTCTTGGGGAGTGGGTCTTTGTGACTACCGGTATAAATACACCAATGAAACCAATGTTCATTTTCCCCCTCCCAGTCCCCCCACCTTGTTGTACACAACTAAGTGTTTGCAGCCACTCGAAATAAGTGTGAACTGTAAATCAAATCACAAATTTGCCTCGAGACGCGACGCCGACAGCGACAATAAAAAAAGAGACAGAGGACGTGTGTGATGAAGTTTTTCTGAGGTTCAGTTCTGACACCGAAGAAGCCAACTTTAGTGGTTTTAGTGCACAGGAGGACTGAAGATCGTGATCAAAGACTTTTCCTGGTAGGCTGTTATTTTTAACTAGGGAGTTTTCTGGCCGATCCCCGATCTCTAAAAAGTCTGACCTGCCGATTCAGATTTAGTTTTACAAGCGACGCTGTCAGGCGTTATAAGGTCACAATGCACCTTCAATTTTCCAATATTATTTTATCGAAAAACATACCCTTGAACAATATTCTAGAAACAACACAAACTTGTTTTAACTGGCCATGAGGTAGGGCTCTGAAATATAAATAAAGTTCAGACAATTGTTAAAACTAAAAAAAACAACAGTAAAATCGGTTTCTCATGCAAGTATCGTCCAATTTCTGATTGCCTAAAATTAAGGGAATCGGGGCCCCCACTTTTAACGAGCTGTATTACAGGCACTATTCAAGAAAAATCATTTGTTGTACGTATTTGTGTATGTTACCAGTACGTATTTAATTAAAAGACTAAAAAAATCTTTCTATGTAAATATCTCGTTATGACGTGGACACCTGCGGCTTATACACAAGTGTGGCCTATACATGTACTTTTGTAAATTATTTAGTGGGTGCGGCTTATATTCAGGTGTGCTCAATAGTCTGGAAATTACAGTAAATGGTAAATGGACATTACTTATACAGCACCGTTCTGTCTTGCCTCAGGTAACAGGTCACATCAGAAGTGCTACAGCTATTTACTGTTGAAGATGTTTCTGCTTGCAAATAACCACAAAATGCCATATATATATATATATATATATATATATATAACCCTGTAACAGTTTATTAACTAGTGATCACCTAAACGGCTACAAAAATTTGTAGCTTAGCGTTAAATCACGATGACAGCAATTTGCTCTGATCTTAGCTTGCTCGAACCAGCACAGAAGAGCAACATCATCAGGCCAGGACTCTGCGATATACAAGCCAGCTGTCACTCTTTCAGGGATGAAAGTGTGCACGTCCTTGATAGAGAGGAACGTAAGTTTGAGAGAGGAGTGAAGGAGGCCATCTTTGTGAAAAGAACTCATCCATCAACAGGGGCGGATGCCTCCGTGTTCAACTGTCCCTCTCTTACAATGATGTTAATTCTAATACCATTCAGTCCTCTGTGATACGAAGTCATCAGGGAACAAATGATCGGTCGTTAGGCTGACGGTCCTCCTTTTGTATGCGAACAGCTAGTTTTAGCTGTCAGCAGCAAACTGGTTGATCCACTACGAGAAGGTTCTGTCCAGAGGACCTGGCTTTATTTTGTTAGATTTTTCTACCTGGATGACTGAACATGCATTGGAATATATTAATTGCTTATAACACTTTCAAAACACCTCATCCATTACTTTAAGCCTTCACAGTAGCCCCACATTGCTTTATTTATAATAAAAACTTCTCAGAGGGAGTTTAAATCAGGTATAGTCACAGATGTGGTTGGTGATGGTCCTCAAACTATTCAGGGAGAACAAAAAAGGTTAAATCACGTCATCTGGACCAGTTCCTTTGAGGGAGAAATGTTTCGTCTTCCATCCGGAAGGCTTGATCAGTCTAGGGCCTGCTAACCAGATCTGTAGCATTAGTAGCCTTCACTGCTGTTTCAAGCCAACCTCCTGTTGGGATCTCAGAAGCAGGCTTTTAGCACGTGCAAAAGGACCCATCTGTCCAAAACAATCAATCATCACGTACAACAATCAAATGTTGCAGAGTTGCTACTCACAGAAACGAGGACACCAAGGCCAAAATGGTTCAGAAAAAAGTTTTAAACTCAATCAACCAGGTAGATAACAACAAAAAAGATTAAATCATGACCAGTTTCAAGGAGAACTTTGGTCCAAACCATCAATCTGAAACTGAATGAAATTTCCCTTTTCATTTAAAACACACGACATGAACAATGAAGCTGTAAATTAGCAAAGTCTTGTGGCTGCTTAGTTTCTAATATGTTACAACGACCCACCTAAGGAGACTAAAAAAAATTGGACAGATACTTTGTTTGGTAATAAAAAAGAAAATCAACTAACAGACACTTTCTTCTGATGTTGTGTCTGTAAAATAAAACTGATTGTGTCCTTGTATCCTGATGCACGCTCAATAATCCAGGTAGAAAAATCTAAAAAAAAAAAAAGAAGTAAAGTCAGGTCCTCTGGACGTTCAAAAAACAAAAAAAGTGTAGAAACGTTTCGTTTTTCATCCGAAAGACTTCTTCAGTCTGAAGAATGAAAATCTTTCGGATGAAAGACGAAACGTTTTTACACTTTTTTTGTTTTTTGAACGTCCAGAGGACCAGACTTTACTTTTTTTAAGATTGTGTCCTTGTGTGTTACCAACACTTCAGAGTTTTGAAAATCATTTTAACAACATATAAGGTCCTTTCTTACAGTTGTTGACACCATACTTGCATTACAGCACTACATCAGGACCATGGCAGTGATCTGCACAAAGTGTCAGTAAATAGTCATAGCCCTGCTATTTTTTTTATCTTCAATATGAAGTTGATAGCAAAACATAACTATCAATATCACAGTAAGAAAATCTACTATGATAATAATATAGGTGCGATGCTCCACAACTTTTAATAAGTCAGTAGTTACCTGTTGTTGTGTCCCATCTTCCTGAGTTACCACGGCAACATGCTGTTGACTAACAATGTCTGATGGCTCCACAGGAACCTGCTCTGAGCTGGACTCGTCTGCTTCAACCACAGTTGGTGTGTAGCTCGCATTGGGATCATCAATTGCATCTGAAAGAAAACAATGACACACCTTTTCCTCAGTCACTACTATTGCTAAAGCTAAAAAAAATTAAAAAATCTGTATTTTTCCTCACTCATGTTTATTTACACCGACCTGTTGGTGGTTCAAAGTAAGCCTCCTGCTCCTCTTCGATGGGCTCGGTGTCATTGTGAGCTGTGCGTTTGTGCATGGCGAGCGTGGAGATCTGCTTGTAGGTTTTCCCGCAGTGGTTGCAGTTGTAAGGTTTACAGGGTGTATGGACAACATGGTGTTTATAAAGGCTGGAGTACTCCGTGAAGCGCTTTTCACACCCAGGCACTGTGCACACATATGGTTTCTCTCCTAAAATATCACATACAAGTTTGTAAATTGTTATGTGAACAAAGACATAAAACGTATTTTGTCTTTGAAGATACGTAAATGCATGGTAAGTAAAGGGGCCCACCAGTGTGAATCCTCATATGGTTCTTGTAATTGGTGGCACTGGCGAATGAGCGCCCACAGCTGGGCTCAGAGCAGAAGTACGGCCGCTCTCCCGTATGTGTTCGGATGTGAACTTTGCGAATGTTGGAGGTGGTGAACGACCTGCCACAGCCTTCAACTGGGCACTTGAAAGGCTTTTCTCCTTAAGACATGAAGTGATGGACAAAGAAACAGTTGAACTGTTTTCAATCTACTGGACTGCATGTTACAGTAGTTATTGAAGGTTAGTAGGAGAGTACCTGTATGAGTCCTTGTGTGCTTTTGAAGGTCTCCAGAGGTTTTAAAGGACTTGCAGCAGTTTAGCTCCTGACATCTGTATGGCTTTTCCCCCGTGTGTGTGCGTGAGTGACTCTTCAGCCCGTAACCTTACATGAACACACAGTTAGACTTTCATTTCTTGTAAATTCACTGCTACTTCTGTTCATTCATTTGTTGCAAAAGTATAAGAACCCCACAAACTTTTATAGCTTTCATTAGCTAATGGAACAAGTATGAAATTTGTAAATCCATAACTTTTGAAATATACAATGGGTCAAAAGATAAATAGGCACATTGTCTGACTGATAACACACACAAGTGCAAGAGATAATTAATAATCCACAGCTACCTGTTGCAAACTTCTTCCCACAGCCGTGATATTCACAGATGTACGGTTTGTCACCAGTGTGGGAGCGCTCGTGCACCTTTCGGAGGAAAAATAAAACAGTGATCAGTGATGCAAAGCAGCCCATACTTTTCAAGACTCGTTTTTTTTTTTTTTTCATTCTTGATCCATTTTGATCTGAAAGTGTTTGTAGATTTATAGTAAGTGTTCGTGTGGTAAACTTTCTTTTGGCTGCTCCATTCTTTAGGGGTTGCCACAGCGAGCAAACTCTCATGAAGGATTTGGCATTGGTTTAACGCCAGATGCCCTTCCTGATGCAACCTGGGCTCGAACTTGCAACCTCAGGATTACAAGACCGCAGCTCTGACCTCAGAGCTACTGCAGCCTCTTTAAATGTTTCTACAGTAATGGGGTCTTATCATGTGTGTTTCAAACACCATACAAAACAAACCATGCACTAAACCTGAACAGCAAAGAACAACATATATGGAAAAACAAATCGTTTCCAGCTTTTCTAATTAGTTTATAGTCTTAATGCCAGGGTTTAAGTCTTCAATACAAACATATTTTCCTTTTGTAAAACTATGTAAACAATAAGAGCTTTGTTTGCTTTAGGGATGGACTACCTTTTGTCTAAAAAGATGCATGATACTGTTATTGAGCTGAAGCCATATACTGGGGTTTACTGTCTTGTCTAAAGGCATACAGAGCAGTAGATCTAAAAACATTGTCATTAAAGAGCAACCGATTTTATAACCAGAAATATGGCAACTTCATAAAGCATCTCAACCTGTAACTCAAAAACTAAAACACTGATGGCTAAAACCTTAAGCTCAAGGCTTGATGTGATAGATAAAGTAAAATGGGACATCATGACAGCTATGTCCATCTTTTAAATACAATCCACGTGGAAATCTATAATCATCATTTTATAGCAGTTCACATTTTGATTCTGGAAAACGCAGTAAAGAACAGATGTTCATCAGATGTTGCTTTTTTTTAAAAATTGTACTTCTACGTTTCTTTCGGCCGCTCCATTTTCAGGGGTCACCACAGTGAGCAAGTGACAGACCACGTGTGGAGCAGAGAGCTGCCGTCTAGGGCACCGGAGGGGGCAGATGGTGGAGGTTTAGGGCCTTGCTCAAGGGCCCAGAGTGGGGGCAAATCAGGGTGGAGGCAGGTGCTTCATCTTTCCCACCCACATTTACATGCAATTGTCAGGGAATTTGAACCGGCGACCTTCAAATTGACATGACACCCACCATCTGTCAATCAATCTGGTAGGTATGTCAGCAACGAACCAACCAGTAATCACAATTTGTCCAGGAGTGAAACGCCCCTTACCTGCAGGAGCTGCACCCCCTTTTCCTCCAACAACATTGTCGGGGTTTTGCATTACAAACACTTTGCAGTCATGGGGATTTCGTGAAAAATCATGAGCAAGAATTGGTTAAAAGTCGTCAGCGGGGAACATGTAATTCAGACGCACGTTACCCTGAGCGTGTACACGATGTAACACAGTTTATTCCATTTCCAAAACCTACACGGAGTCTGGAAAACTGTAAAAGAGGGACAAAGGCCAGCTGACCTCATGAGCAGCTGAATACGACGATGATAAACAGGAAGTAGCACATGGGGAGAGGTGGTGCAGAGGTTAGAGAAGGTGGGCCTGTGATCGGAAGGTCGCCGGTTTGACTCCCCAGACTGACAACATCAAAATGTGGATGCAAAAGGTGAAACACCCACACATGCCTCCACCCTTATTTGACCCACTCTGGACCCTTGAGCAAGGCTCTTAACCCTCACTCAGTGTGACTACCTGTATAAATATAAGGTTAAATAAAATAAACATGTTCGTCTGTACGAAGGTAACTGCAAGTAGTCTCCCTGATGCATAAAAATGGTTAAATTAGCTGGATGATTGAGTCTACAAACTTTTTTTTCATCCTGCTGCATGCTCAGTAATCCTGGTGGACAAAACCTAATAAGGTTAAGTCAGGTCCTCTGGACGGATTCTTCTGTAACTGCAAGTAAAGCCTCCATTTTCTGTCATATTTACATTGCATGCTTAATGATCAAAGGTTGATGCTTAAAGATAGTTGTGCTTCGTGTTGTATGCATCTACGTACAATGTGCAACATAATATGCTGCAACTTCTGGTTGCACACGTTTAGTCTTTGTTCTGATCAGTCAACACTAAACTGATGTTGCACAAAGCCTTTAATAGGTTGTGTAAAGTGAAGTATATACTCTTGGTACATAGTGAATTTCACTGCGAGTTCTTGCCCTGTGTCGCTGTGCAGAATGAAAACATCCACTGCAGTAACTATTTTAACTAGGGATGCACGATATTATCGGCATATCGGTATCGGACGATATTAACGTTAAAATTAATTCCATTAAAATAACTCGCCGATACAAAAGGCGCCGTTTTTGCCTGCAGTGGCAACACAACATGATGATGTTGCAGCGGCAGAGCAACGCGATGACGTCACGTGCGCTTACCTGATCTTACAGCGGAGAGGAAAATTCAAAATGTCAGCTGTGTGGAAATTTTATTTTTCGTTGGTGAGGATGTCGGATTTCGAAGATTTATGGACTACGTTGAGCCTCGCTACATCGTCCCCAGTTGGAGACATTTTTCCCACGTAACGTTACCCGAGTTACAAGCAGTCGTTTCCAACGTCATTGAGAAGCTGATAGCACGGCTTGTTGGGTGAGTTTTACCACAGACACTTGGACGTCGTGTTAGCCCCGTTAGCATGATTAGTCTTACGGCACAATGGATAGACAAAAAGTTTGAACTTAAAAAGTCTGTCCTTCGTGCACAAAAGTGCAGGGGATCCCACACTGCAGCTATAGGAACCTGGAACAAGCCTCCACAAGTGAGACAGCATCGCAGGTGACTAATGCTAATAAATAATATTTAACACTTTTCATTTAATATAAGTTAAAGTGCTATGAATATCATATGGCTGTTAACCAACAAAGTCCATGCTCAATCATCCAGGTATACAATCCAACAATTTTCAGTGAGGTCATCTGGATTTTTTTGTGCTGAAACGTTTCACCTTCCATCCAGAAGTCTTCATCAGTCAAGGAAACGCACAACACAAAACTGATTCTTCCCCCAAACAACTTACTCCGAAGTGGAACAAACCAGTTATGTTGGTACCAAGATGGTCTCATATGGCTGTTACTGAATATATGTCACCAGCTCTCACTGCTGTTGCACTAAGAGGGCTATGTTCTGACAAAGGAACATATATAAAATATCGGTTATCGGCCAAATAAGTTTTAACATATCGGTCAAAAATCCAATATTGTGCATCCCTAATTTTAAATTATTAGTATCTTAGAATTTTTTTGCCCGTCTTTTTTGACCCTTGTTGGCTGATAAGGTAAAAAATGCCTCAGGTAACGCCGTGAGCTTCACTACCTCCACCATTACAGCCATCTTTGTTTGTTTGTTTGTTTGTCCGAGGTTGGCTCACGCTGGGTTACATTTATGCGTGGGCGGAGCCATCTTTCAGTTCACGTCATGTCAATTATAGGCTTGTCTTCTCTAAACTCTTCACCACCCCCACCTCACTTTTGTATTTTTTGTTGTTGTACCTAGAAAAATACTAAAAGTTTGATGCTTTTTAAGATTCAGTAGAAATCCTATATTGCGTGCACACACACATCCAGAGCACCCCCACATTACCTTGAGGTGGTGGGCAGTTGTGTAGAGCTTCCCACAGCCCTCATATTCACAGTGGAAAGACTTCTCCCCTACATTTGACACTCTTTGTGGCCTGTTGTCTTGACCCTGTAACACAATCTGAACACAAGAAACACAATTTAGACTGAATGTTAAATCATAACTAAAAAAATGTTTAAATACAAAATAAAAGATGAAACATTACCCGCATGTGGACGCCAATGTCCGTTTCTACTCTGCCAAAAGATCCCGAAGTGTTTTCTACATTCTCTACCTAAGAGGAAAAAAGGACATTTTATTTTTAATAGTCTGTTGGAATAATGTTTAAAGAAGATTCAGATGAAGGAAAATTCACCTGGAGGTTATGGACTTCTACTTTTTTCTAGGATAAACAAGTACATCATCTAAAATGTTATCTGCGTACATCATTACAATCAATATTAGGAAAAGCTTCATAATACTTTCTTCAAAATCAAGCCAATAACATTCAAAAACACAGTGTGGGACAAATTCATTACTTGATAAAGTTAAAGAACAAAAACAAGCAGAACTTTCCACAACAAAATACCAAAATTTAAGGTCTATAAGTCGTGACTTTGTTCACTGACTTCAAACACCACAGCTTATACAACGATGCAGCTAATTTATGTTGGTTTGTTTGACGGGTTAACGAGCTTTCTCCCACCAAAAACATTTAGCTTCGTCACACCCGGACGCTCACACCTAATACACGTCTCTCTTAGAGGGGGTGGGGGTTCCATCTCCAGGCCAGCGGTCACTCGTTCAGGATGAAGATGTTCACATCTTTGACAGAGAGGATTGTTGGTTTGAGAGAGGAGTGAAGGAAGCCATCTTTGTGAGGAGAAACCGTCCATCATGGCAAAGGTAAAATCTATTCTGTTTGAATCAGTAATCCATGCCTCAATTTCATCACGGCTGGATTACTGTAATTCCCTCTATCTCGGAGTCAGCCAGTCCTCACTTGCACGTCTGCAGCTGGTGCAAAATGCTGCTGAACGCCTGTTAACAGGAACACGTAAAAGAAAGCACATCACACCCATCCTGGCTTCTCTCCACTGGCTGCCCGTGTATTTTAGAGTTCATTTTAAAATTATTTTGTTTGTTTTTAAGGTTTTAAACAGCTTGCCCCCCGCCCACCCTTATTAAACAGAGCTTCTCCACCATTACACTCCACCTCGGTCACTCAGGTCTGCTGACCAGCTGCTTCTGGTCATTCCCAAGAGTACGAGGAAGCTTGGAGGAGACGGGGCCTTCTCTGTTAGTGGCCCCCTGTGAATAGCAAGCGGCCTTCAGAGTGCTAACGATCTATTGTTAGGCTGATGGTCCTCCTTTAGCATGTGAACGGCTAGTTTTGAATATCAACAACAAAACTGGTTGAGCCACTATGAGAAGGTGTTATTTATAAGACATGAGCTATGTTTACATGTGCAAAATTCTTTGACCGGATTGAAATGTTTTCAGATTAAATAATTCAAATGTATCGTTAACATGGACGCAATCCGTTCACAACGAGCGTTTACATGCAGCGAGCGTTTATTCTGAACAGAAGTACTGACATGCACAGAGTGGTGAACTCTCCTTAAAAGTCCACAGAAGAAGTTCTACTTCCGTGATGAACGTAAACAAACCTGAGCACCGAAAATGGACCCGCGACAGGTTTAAATGACGGTGGAGACGTCACTGCACTCCCTGACTGAGCTACAGGTGATGCAGATCATTCTGAGCTCTTTCAAAGGTTCTAGTAGAAATGTTGTGTCGCTCACTCACCAGTTTTGCTTCCCCGACATGCTAATGTTATTAGCATTAGCCAGGTGGAAAGGACATAGGTCGCACATGCGCAGACAGGTCAGTTTTTTGCAATAGGAAAAAAAATGAACAGATTAAGTGTTTACATGCGCACCGTTCGGGTTATGAATGAGCATAAACCACCCGTCTGATTACGAATTCTTTCGGATCGAGCTGAATCAACAAAGAATAATCCGAATGGGGCGTTTACATGAAGCATTTTTATTCCGAGTGGTTGTTTAATCCGATTACTTGCATCCATGTAAACATAGCTTGAGATGAATACAGCCCCTCAGACCGAAGAAGTCTTTCAGATGAAAGACGAAATGTTTCTACATTTTTTTGTTTTTTGAACCCGTCCAAAGGACTTGACTTAACTTTTTTTAGATGTACGTATTTGTGTATGTTACCGGTACGTATTTAATAAAAAATAAATAAATAAATAAAATCTTTCTGTGTAAATATCTCATGTTACAACGTGAACACCCGCGGCTTATAAACAAGAACGGCTTATATATGTCCATTTTTTATTATATATATATATATA